CCTGCCTATGTTCTGAAGATGTCGCAGGCGGCAGTCTCAAGTTTAACACGCATGGTCTTAAACCAGCCTTCCCAACGTCTTATCATTTCGACGACGTATCAAGCGATATCCCATGTCCATACGGTTGTTAAACTCGCTTCTGTTTTAATAACATATATATATAGATATAGATATAGATATGTATGTTGGTGGGTGTCTCAAGCGAAATATTTGTTTGTATGAAAGACGGTGTTGCGAACAACTAATGATTTTAGGATGTATCGAGCGAAGTGTGCATTTTGATGATTCTCGAGGGCGCGCTTGGGATCATATTGGGGTTCGCTGTGGGCTCGTTCGGGGCCGTTTCAATGCCATCAAAAACGATGCCAATGCGATGTCGCACACTTCCCTATTTTGAGGATGTCCCAAACGAAAACGTAATTTTTAGAAGCCTGGCTTGGGCCGTCTGGAAGCCCTTTTTCAGCAGCGATGTCAAGACGATGTTAGAACAGCAGTTTTCAAAACGATGCTTTTTCCATGCGAAGATGTCCTTATCAAAGTCGCCATTTTCGGCAATCACCATGGCACTCTTGGAGCCATAGTGAGGTCCTTTGTGGTTCGCGTTTCTTCATGTTGAAGGGTTTCAAGAAAAATGTCAAGACGATGTTGGGAACATCGCATTGTTTTGAGGATGTCCCGGCAAAATGCATTTTTTCTGCCGTGCTCTGTTTTCCGATCCGTCTTGCTGCCAGTCAGTTTCTGAGAACGTCCCTAGCGAAAACGTGGGCTTCAACACAAGAGGTAGTAGTACACCTCCGTCGACACCTCATTTTTGCTAGGATGTCTCATGCGAAACGCATTTCATTACAGATTCGTGAATTTCGCGGCGACCCATTTTTCGATGATGTCTCTAGCGGAAGGCTTGTCTTGTTAAACGCGATGTCGCGAAGATCTCATTCTTGTGAGGACGTCTCAAGCGAAATCGCTGTCTTGGGATACTTGACCGGACAAGAACGAGAAGCTTCATTTTGTGTCCTGGGTTTACGAGGTATCCTACGTTCTGAATATGCGCTGAGCAAGGCTGTCGTGGCGTGGCGGCGGAACGAAAGAGAATCCGATCACGAGCATAAAAGTTTCTTCGAATCAAAAGCCGCGCTTGAGATGACGCGTGCGTCGGGAAGTGGACATTGTACCCTAGCAGCTCACAGAGCCTGGTGTGCCGCCGCACCGACCGTTGCTGGAGTGACGGGTCCAGCTGTCCAATAGCACCCTTCCCAAGGATACGAATGCGAGCAGCAAGGTTATGGTATTTAAACGGCATGCCAGAAATAACGACGCCAAAGCTGGACACGTAGCCGACGGAGGAGGAAGAGTTTTCACCGGGAGCACAACATCACAATTTCAGATCCCTATGCGGATCCCAATCTGTGTTCCTATGCGAATCCATGTGCCGATCCCTAGGCGGACCCCTATTTGGATCCCTGCGCCGATCCCTATGCGGATGCTTATGCGGATCTCGATGCGGATCCCGATGCGGATGCCTATGAGGATACACGTGCGCACTACCATGCAAATCCCGATGCGAATCCCTAGATCCTTACGCGGATCCCTAGGCCCTATGCGGATCCCGATGCGGATGCGCATGCGAATCCCTCTGCAGATCACCATGACCCATGAGATTCCCAATGTGGACCAGACCCCTATGCTTCTATACGGATTTCTATGCGGACTCCTATGCGGATCCCGATGCGCACGGCGGCAGTGCCCGGAGCGCACTGAGGGGGGAGCGTCACGTCATTGGGAGGGGGGGGGGACGGGGGCCATGACGCCCGCCATGCCCCAAGTAATAAAAACACGCTCTTGGCTCCCGAGCCTGCCAGTCCGTCTTTCAATTCGCGCTAAAATCCATCGGCCGAAGGAATTTCACCTTGAACATGCTTGCTCGCTTCCAACACACTTCACGGTACAGCGGGATTTTGGCCACAAGAAAGTTCCACAATACATTCAGGCCCACAAGCAGCCTCTTGATCCGCGTCCCCTATGCCCCAGCGCTGCTGCAAGAGCTTCTAACCGAGAAAGCCAGCTCGCTCCAACTGCGCATCGTGTTGCCAACTTTCTGTGCAGCAGGGCATACCGTGGCATGGCATGGCCTTGTATAGCGTGGCACTGGAATGCATCAAACAACATAGCATGGCTTGGCAAGGCATAGCATGGCATATTGGCGTAGCGCATGTCGTCTCACATCGGCATGGCGTGGTGTTACAAATCATTGGTAACCAGCGTACCGCATAGCATGATGCTGGATTGGACAACATTGCATGCGATAGGACAGCATGTCACAGAAATCAACACGCTGCGTAACAACATGTGGAAACACATTGTAGATGAGCATGGCGCAACAAAGCATTGCACGGTATCGCATCCAACAGAAATGCACAGCGTCCCACTGCATTGAACAGCATGAAGTGGCACTCCAGCAGCTCGCGTCTCGATCGTCGCCGCCGCTGTCGTCGTCCGCCGTGCCGTCGTCGTCCCTGGGGTCGTCGGTGTCGCCAGCGTGGTCGCATTCGAAGTCTTACACGTCGTCGTCGTCGTCGTCGTCGCCGTTGCCATCGTCGTCGTCGTCAACGTCTCCGTTCGCCTCGTTGTCGCTGGCGTCGCCGTCGTACTCGTCCTCGTCGTCGTCGTCGTCAGCGTTGCCGTCGCCGTCGCGACACGCCCGTCCGCAGGTAGGTCTATCTTCCTCTGGCTTCCGCTGGCGGAGCCACCGCCATTTGACTTCCGCCGGCCATCTGCTGGCGTCGGCCGACGTCGGGGTGCGAATGCGAGGTGTTTTCTGGACGCGCCCCAAAGTGGTGGTGACCCTCCTTCCTCCTGCAGGGGAGAGGTCAGGACGAGAGGCTCTCCATGACAAGAGGTGAAGCCACCCTGCTCCTTGCGCACCGCCCATAGCGCCTCCGCGTCACCAGGCCCGAGCTCGAGGAGGCGTGGAAGGATGCGCAAATCAAACCTGCCGAGGAAAAGACCCCTACCTTCGACGGCTTGATGTTTTCAAATGGCCGCCTGACTTGGGGTGAGAACTTGCCAGAATTTCGAGGCGATCTAGCCACGGCACCAGGAACGCCCCAGGAGCCCCCCAACACAGGCCCGAAGACATTCCCTAACATGGGTCATCACCCCACGAACCTCGCTGCTAGATGATCGAATCGCCAGACGCAGACCCACGCCGTCAGACTTTTTGTCACAACTTTGGACCCTGGTGGTCTGGACCTCTTCCCTGGGACTGGCGTTTATCCCGAGTCGCGTTCTCTTGACGGCCCCTGAGCATGGTCCCGCAGAGCAGAGAATTGTGAGATAAAAAACGTCCATCGCGTTTTGTGTTTTCCACGGCGACGCGCGCGCGATGATGGAGAACGTTGGGAGGGGACAGGCTCAGGGGAGGAAGCACCGCCCTGGATGGGCATGCATCGCCGATGGGCTAGCGGCAGGCCCCCGATAGCAAGTCCGCACGGTCCTGGGCGGGGTGGGGGAGTCGGGCCCGGATCGGCGATCAACGGGCGATTGGGTGTCGAAGCGTCCCCCTGAGCCTGCCCCCGACGTTGCCCCCGATGCCTCCCGAGAGGCTGCCTCATTTTGCTGCCGGCGGACGCCGAGCTGCGGAGACCCCGTGGGCGGCGCTTGCACACGCCGCTCCGGGGGCGATCTCCGCCTACGCGGATTCGTCTCAATTTTCCAGGAGCAGTCCGCGTGGGCACTGCAGCGCCCAGCCCTGCCCTGATTCTCGCTGGCTCCGGGGAAGGGGGGGGAGGATGAGGGGCAGGAGGAGGAGGAGGCGGAGCAGGGGGAGAGGAGATGGAAATGGCGATGGTAAGTTTCGCCCTTTCCTCCCGGGACCTTCAGGCCTGCTGAGGAGAAGCCAATAGAGGAGGGACGAGGGAAGAGGGATGCATGGAGGAGGCCGAGGAGGTAGAGGTGAAGAAGGACGGGGACCATGGAGAGTATGAAGCAGGACCGACAAAGAGGACATGGGAAAGTGAGGGAGAAAGATGGGGAGGAGGAGCAGAGGGGGGACGCAGGAATCTAGAAAGGAAGAAGAAGGGGAGGAAAAAGGGAGAAGGCAGAAGGAGGTGCGGAAAAAGGAAAGGGGAGCGAGGATGGAAGAGCAGCGGGTGGCCAGAAGACGCACAAGACCTACTTCGCGGCCTGAGCGAGCCGACCCTGAGATCCGGCGTCACCAGAAAAACAACAACAACAACAAATATAGCTAAATCTCGACCAGCGCCCAGGACACCATGCTTCTCCGCATGTTTGTTCCAGCCGTATCGATATGTGAGGGCCCCGGGGCCCGAAACAAGGCAAAATCGCCAATTTCGGACAACCGAAACAAATGCGACGCCAGGATCTCATGGGGAGGCCGAGCAGAGCGCTCGATGCGCCCGCGCATGCCGGGGCGACGCAGGAGGGGACGAACAGCTCAGGGCCCCCTGGACTGAGACTCTTGGGAAGCCAGGTCTCTGGCGCGCCCGGCGCGCCCGAGGAAACTGCAGCCGTACGTTCTCCACTCTTCGCTCTCTCCAAATGGAACTCTCCACTTCGTGGCCAGCCGTGTCCTGGTTCGGATCGGAACCAGGACCGGCGACACCACCACCACCAGGGACCATCGGGAGGAGCCATGGGGGTCCCCCTGGTGGTGTGGTTCCCCCCTCTGGCTCGAAGATCTCCTCTCCCCAGCTCGGGGAGGCATCGCGGACCTCCTCGCTGTAGGTGGCCCCCTGGTGGTGGTGGTGTCGCTTCTCCTCTCCCCCCCAATTCAAAAAGGCCCTGAAACTCGCCACCGCTCGGACGTCCATTCTCCCCGTCATCTCTTTCGATGCCGTGTGTTCCTTCGCTTCGCAAGACGAGCCAAGATGGTCCTCGCCGAGAAAAGGTACACGCGTCCGAGCGATGCCAAGGACACAGCTGCGACCGTGGCCGCGCTGGGCGCCCCGCTGGGGGGAGCCCTGGGGCCGCGACGGCGCGGCTCACACGGCGGCCTCCTGCGGTGGGGCCGCCGCCCCGCTGCAGGGCGCCTCGGGCGCCGGCTGCTCCGCGCTGGCATCGTCGGCCGCCTGCTGCTCGCGGGCGAAGCGGAGGAAGACCTGCGGAGGGTTCTGTGGCAACTCACGGGAGCCTGCCATGTCACCTCGCTTGCTCTGGCGAATCGACGCTGCCCGGCGCTGATCGACGCCAATCGACGCTAGATCTACGCTAATCGGGGCTAGACCTGCGCTTCCTCATCGACTGCCAGACGCTAGCGCGAATGCTGGAGACGAAATTCCAAAGGGAGACGAGGCTCCCGTCAATTACCGAAGGTGGGGGGCGGGCGCAGACTTGTGCTCGCTTCTTAGACAAAGAACTCCACGTGGGAGGCTGTTGGTCCTCTGCGACCACTGGGTCCGTCATCGGGCCAGCCCTGGGACCGTCCAAAGACTACCCTGACGCTTGTTTCAGCCATTAGTTTAAAATCTGTTCTCACATTTGGAGCCTGTGAGTTAGGAGATGCTCGTGCTGGCTGGAATATATGATGGAACAGCCAGTCCTGGGGAATGGATCCAGACCTCTGAGGGTCGACGTTGCGAACAGGAGAAAGGCGTCGGTGTTATGGGTCTCTCCGATGTAGCCAGAGGCGGTCCTGGCAGACTGGGGCCCCGCTCCCGTGGGCGAAGGGCCCCCCGCAACGAGTTGCCGGGGGTGGCCCTCAGCTTCTCCATGGAGGCCCAGAACTCATCCAGAGCACCGCGCCAAGACGGCGCGCGGGGCATCTTTGGAACACCTTTGGCAACCAAGGCCCTGGCCATGGCCACCCGAGAAAAACTCGCGTCAAAATCTGTCCTGTAAGTTTCGGCGTCGTGAAACATTTCTCCGTGCACCAGGACCGACAATAGAACGGCAACATTGACCCCAAGGGGCGGGGTCGAGAGCTCCGCGGGCCAACGGCTCGAAAGATGAAGCACTAGAGGACACCATCCAACAAGGTACACAAAATCATGGCGTGTTCACATGTTCTGTGCGGTGTCTTCTTCCTTTTCTTGCACTGCGGCGTATTCGCACATGCCGTTCCTCGAATGTGCTCGCCTGCTGAATGGTGTCCGACAGCCCGCTGGCGGCACGACTCTCTCTCTCTCTCTCTTTCTCTCTATCAGTCCCTCTCTCTCTCTGTCCCAGACCTGCTCCAGCGAGGGGCGCCAAAGGCTGTACTCCGTGACGCCCAGAGTGTGCCTCGCCTGGCTGAGCTCCGTGAACACCTGCGCCAAACCCATGTACCCAGGCCCGCCGTCCACGGGCGGCAGCTGGTAGAGGCACCGGCCGGGGTGCACTTCCGCCAGCACGGCCCTCTTAGAGAGCCTCTCGTCCATGAACCTGGTGGCCGCCTCCGTGCTAACCCCGGCCTTGAAGAAGAGCTCCAGCTGGTACCCCTGCCCGAACTTGTTCCGTATGTGCATCGGGCTGCCGAGGCACCGCAGGCGCCCCAGCACCTGGATCGTGAGCCTGGAGGAGAAAAAATGCAGAAGCATAAGCTTATGGAGCTCCGCGCGGATTTCTCCGACCTGCGCTGGCGCCAGGGGCGGCGATCCAAGAACTCCGCGCGGAGCTCCGAGGGTTTATGCTTGTGCCGCTTTTCCTGCTTCGAGAGCCGGTCGCACAGTGCCTCGGCCTCTTCCATGGAGTGCGTGGTCAGCAGCGCCGTCTGGTGCGCCCCGCGGCTCTTGATCATCTGCCATAGGTAGCGCTTAGCGGCGGCGTCCACCGCGGCGCTCGGCTCGTCCAGGAGGAGGACCTCCGAACGGCCCACCAGCGCAATGCCCACGGAGAGCTTCCGCCGCATGCCACCGCTGTACTTCTTGGCCTTCTTGTTCGCGTCCGCACCGCTGAGTCCGAGGCACCGCAACAGGTGCTCCACCTCTCGAGGACGAACAACAATTGAATAAACATAAGAGATCGGAGGCCCGCGCGGACTCTGCGCTGAGCGCGCAGCTCCAAGCGATGGATCCAAGCAGATCCAAAAGATCTGCGCGGAACTCCGAGAATTTGTAATGCTGTTGTTGCTGTCCTCGAACCTCCGTCTTCAAGGCGGCCTCCGGCACACCCTTCACCCGGCCGTGGAAGAAGAGGTGCTGCCGGCCCGATAGGTCCTCCCAGAGAGGGTCCACCTGGGGGCAATTCCCCAGCCGCCTGTAGAGAACTCGGAAGCCCGCCTCCGAGACGTCTTCGCCACCCACCAAGACCTTGCCCGAAGTCGGGGGCCAGAGCTCGCCCGTGAGGATGGACAGCGTCGTGGTCTTCCCTGCGCCGTTGGGCCCCAGCAGCCCGAAGCACTCGCCCCGCCGGATGCCCAGGGAGATGCCCCGCACCGCCCGGACTGGGGCGGCACTGCCCTTGGCGGGGTAGGTGTGGCGGAGGTTCTGATAGCAGAGGAGAACAAACAACGGCATGAACAGAGACGTTTCGGAGCTCTGCGCAGATTTTTTGAATCGGTGCTGCACTGCTGCACCCCTCGCCCATGGCGCGCGGAGCTCGCCAGGGGGACCCACCGCCGATCGTAGAAATCCGCGCGGAGCTCCGAAAGTTTCTGCTTGTGCAGTCTTGCTTTCCTCGAGATAGATGATCATGTCGCCGGCGCACGTGGAGGCGGCTCCGCCTGCACCCACCTGCTGGTCCAAGCGGTCGACTTCGGCCAGCACATCAGCGTCGTCGTCGGCGGCCGTGTGCTCCGTGCCCTCCGCTTCAGCATCTGCCGCCCCGCACCCAAGCGGCGCCGCCCTGCCGTCCGTGCCATCACCGCGGTCCCGGCGCAGGATGCGCCAGGCGAGAACCAGGGCCACGGTAAGGGAGACGTAGAGGGGCACGGCAGCCAGGCTGAAGAAGAACTCGACGGCGGTGACCGGCACGCTGGCGCTGGGGTCTGCCTTGTGAAGGCTCCCGAAGTGTATGACGTAGATCAGGACGCCAGGAAGCCCGTAGAATGGGTTGATCAGGGACATCAGCCAGTGGAGGATGTCCGCAGCAACGGCGCACGGTGTCGACGTGTGGCCATAGAGGACCAGCTCATAGATCAGAATCGGCGGAACGGTGCCGAAGAGGAGGTTAAATATGGGCAAGTACTTGAACAAATTCTGCAAGTCGTCGAATAGAAACGTGATGTAGTAAGCGAACGACAGCAGAGACAGAGGGTACACGAAAGACTCACAGACCACGAGCGCCAACGCGGGGCCGTTCAGGTATGGCTGGTCCACCAGCACGATCATAGCTGGGACAAGGATGGTAACTGGCAGGGTCACCAGGTAGTCAAAGATGAATGTGCCCCCCCAGTAAGCCATTGCCGGTAAGCCCTGCGAAACAGAGACAAACTTGCACTTGTTCGCCTTGTCCAGCATGACGATTGCCGTGAAGGCAATTATCAACATGGAAAAACCCATGGGAGCGTAGATAGCGATGTACGGGTTCTCGGCATCGTTGCCAGGCGTGCGGTAACACATCGACATGATGACGAGGCCCGAGGGAACGGCCAGCTGCTGGAACATGCGCCGCTTGTTGCCAAGCAGGCAAAGAAGGCGCATCCAGACCAGAGCCGCCAAGCCTCGGCCGAGGCTCCTCCTCTGCAGCTCCGGGAGGGCAGCGTCGGTCCCTGCCTGCGCCGGCGGCTGCATTGAGACAGAGGAGGCTGAGCTCGCGGAGCTGTACTCAGGTATCACCTCGGAGTCCTCGGCACCGTTGGCACCCTCCGCCTCGCGCCCCAGGCGCATGAATACCTCCTCGAGGCTGGTCATCTCCAGCGCGTAGTTCCGCAGGCGCAGCTCGTCGCGCCGCTCGTCCAGCTCGGCCAGCAGGGGACCGAAAGAATCGATCTCGCTGTATGGCAGGTTGTACCCAAGAACGGCGGGCATGTACGGGGCGGCCCCCGAGCGCATGTCCCTGGTAGCAATCGGCTCGCCGCCCTGGACGTGCCGTCGCACCAACGACGCCATCTCCTGACGCACCGCGGCGGTCGTGCCCGTTGCCTGCTCGAACTCCGCCTCGAGCCGGTACCCTACGCCTGCAGAACCGAAACAACGGCATAAGCACAAACCCTCCGAAGCCCCCCGCGGATCTCTCGGGGCGGCCTCGGGGCGGCGCGGCGCCGCGCGGACCTCATACATGCGATGATTTGGTTTGTTCCATGCGGGGCGCCCAGAAGTCCCGACCCTCTCCTGGCTTTTCATCCCCAGTCCCTGTTCGACGGTCCCTGGGCCCGGCAAGGACCCCCGCAGGCCGAAAACTGCCAAAAACCTCCCGTCGTGATTTTTGCCACGACGCGAGCCTGTCCGGGGCCTTCTCCGAGCGTGGGTGCGTACGCCCTGCTTTACCCCCCGAGCGCCGAACCGCAGCTTCAGCTCGCGCGACGTGCCGACGGCCTGCACGCGGCCCCTGGCCAGGACTGCCTTCCTTCACGAGCAGCGAACATATCCGCACACCTGGCCGTCGCGGTCTGGATCCTGCGGCGGGATCCCGCGGATACGCGGTCTCACGGATACGTTCCGCTCAGATCATCCGCGAAACAGTTCTCCGTATCCGTAGGGTCGCGGCCCAGGGGCCCGGCCTGCGAGGCCGCGGATACGGATATGTGTTTCGCCCACGGCTCCTGTCGGCCAGGATGTCGGCCTCCTCCAGGTAGTGCGTCGTGAAGATGATGGTGCGGCCGGCCGCACGCCGCGCGCTCAGCAGGTCCCACAGCTCGCGACGGGCCGATGGGTCCATCCCCGAGGTGGGCTCGTCCAGGAATATGACCTCACGAGTGTGTGTGTATATATATATATATGCACAGATATATGTATGTATATATGTATGTATATATATACATATATATATATATATATATATACTAGAACCACGCGCGCGCTTCGCGCGCGCTTAGGTTCTGTCGAGTCACAGACCCAGGAATCGTTGTGAGAAGAAATTGGTGACGCGAAGCGTCGTGGGGGCGTCCTTGGACGTCTGGGGTCTCCTGGGGCCTCTTGAGGGGCCTCCTGGGGGCCTCCTGGCGGCCTCTTGGGGCGGAAGGCTCGAGCTTGCGGTTCGTGGTCCCCCTCTGGGCCCCCTCTTGGGCCCGTCTTGGGGCCCTCTTGGGCCATCTTGGGCGCCTCTTGGGCCGTCTTGGGGCCCTCTTGGGCTGTCCTGGGGCCCTCTTGGAAGCTTCTTGGGCCGTCTTGGGGCGGTCTTGGGCGCCTCTTGGGCCGTCCTGTAACGTCGGAAAGCCCAAAAGACAACTTTGTTGAAAATGTACGTTTTACGAAGGGAATGGGCCAATTTTGCGTCTAGGGGCCCTCTTGGGACGCATGTTGGAGGCTTCTTGGGGCCTCTTGGGGGCGTCCTTGGACGTCTGGGGTCTCCTGGGGCCTCTTGAGGGGCCTCCTGGGGGCCTCCTGGCGGCCTCTTGGGGCGGAAGGCTCGAGCTTGCGGTTCGTGGTCCCCCTCTGGGCCCCCTCTTGGGCCCGTCTTGGGGCCCTCTTGGGCCATCTTGGGCGCCTCTTGGGCCGTCTTGGGGCCCTCTTGGGCTGTCCTGGGGCCCTCTTGGAAGCTTCTTGGGCCGTCTTGGGGCGGTCTTGGGCGCCTCTTGGGCCGTCCTGTAACGTCGGAAAGCCCAAAAGACAACTTTGTTGAAAATGTACGTTTTACGAAGGGAATGGGCCAACTTTTGCGTCTAGGGGCCCTCTTGGGACGCATGTTGGAGGCTTCTTGGGGCCTCTTGGGGGCGTCCTTGGACGTCTGGGGTCTCCTGGGGCCTCTTGAGGGGCCTCCTGGGGGCCTCCTGGCGGCCTCTTGGGGCGGAAGGCTCGAGCTTGCGGTTCGTGGTCCCCCTCTGGGCCCCCTCTTGGGCCCGTCTTGGGGCCCTCTTGGGCCATCTTGGGCGCCTCTTGGGCCGTCTTGGGGCCCTCTTGGGCTGTCCTGGGGCCCTCTTGGAAGCTTCTTGGGCCGTCTTGGGGCGGTCTTGGGCGCCTCTTGGGCCGTCCTGTAACGTCGGAAAGCCCAAAAGGCAACTTTGTTGAAAAATGTACGTTTTACGAAGGAATGGGCCAATTTTTGCGTCTAGGGGCCCTCTTGGGACGCATGTTGGAGGCTTCTTGGGGCGTCTTGGGGGCGTCCTTGGACGTCTGGGGTCTCCTGGGGCCTCTTGAGGGGCCTCCTGGGGGCCTCCTGGCGGCCTCTTGGGGCGGAAGGCTCGAGCTTGCGGTTCGTGGTCCCCCTCTGGGCCCCCTCTTGGGCCCGTCTTGGGGCCCTCTTGGGCCATCTTGGGCGCCTCTTGGGCCGTCTTGGGGCCCTCTTGGGCTGTCCTGGGGCCCTCTTGGAAGCTTCTTGGGCCGTCTTGGGGCGGTCTTGGGCGCCTCGTGGGCCGTCCTGTAACGTCGGAAAGCCCAAAAAGCAACTTTGTTGAAAAATGTACGTTTTACGAAGGGAATGGGCCAACTTTTGCGTCTAGGGGCCCTCTTGGGACGCATGTTGGAGGCTTCTTGGGGCCTCTTGGGGGCGTCCTTGGACGTCTGGAGGCCATCTCAGCATCTCGGAGCCCTCTTGGAGGCCTCTTGGAAGTTTCTTGGGCCGTCTTGGGCGCTCCTGGGGCCGTCTTGTCTGACCGGGGAGGCCTCCGGCAAGCCCCGACGAGCCTCCGGGCCCCCCGGGGCGCACATTTGTGGTCGGGGTCCCGGCCCCGGGCCCCCAGACCCGGTGCGCCGTTATATGTATATATGTATATCTATATATATATATATATATATACACACAAGTGGCACGTGTGTGCCCAGGGTCATACAAAAAACTGAAGGGGCGTTTGAAGCAGGAGTGAAATGCAACAGCGAAGTCGCACTCGAGCGCAAGTGGGGTCGCCACACCTTGCGATGTGTGTACCAGGGCCCCCCAGGAAGCCTCAGGAGGCCCGGCTTGGATACCAGAAGAGGCTCCAGGAGGCCCCAGGACTGTGAGTGTTGTGTGTGTGTGTGATGTGTGCTCTGTGTTGTGCGTGCTTTTTGTGCGTTGTAGGTGTTGTGTGTGTGTGTGTGTGTGTGTGTGTGTGTGTGTGTGTGTGTGTGTGTGTGTGTGTGTGTGTGTGTGTGCGTGCGTGTGTGTGTGTGTGTGTGTGTTATGTTTGTCTAGCGTGTGATGTGTTGGGCGTGATTTGTGTCTCTGTGTGTGCATGTAGTTCTGAGGCCCCAGGAGGCGCCCCAGGAGGCCCCAGGCGGCCTCAGGAGGCCCCAGGAGACCCCAGGAGGCTTCAGGAGACCCCCAGGAGGCTCCGAGGCGGGGTCTGGGGTACCAGAAGGTTCAGAAAGCCCCAGGAAGCCCCAGGAGGTTCCAGGAGGCTCCCAGGAGGCTCCGAGGCGGGGTCTGGGGTACCAGAGGGTACGTCGGGGCTCGATTTGGGGTGGATGTTTCACGCGAAACCGCCATTCTCTGAGAATCG